CGCATCGTTGACGAAATCGGCCAAGTTTGCAGGATTCATCTTTCAGATTTAATCGGGAATTTTGGAATCGCGTCCAGCCGAAACAATGGAGATGCTAGCTGGTAGGGCAGTGTGCAGTACTCTCGTCAGACTAGGGTCTTCCTAGATCCAAAGCATTTCGCGTAGAGAGTCTACCACTGTCGATAGCAGGACCCCGGGACCTTACGTTGGAAAATACTATGATGATAATAATAATAATAATACACACAGCTCGCATCTTTCCTGAACCTGTTAGACAGGAGCAGAGTCGACGCATCTGTCAACAGTGTCAAGCCAAGTAAGATGCGTCGACTCTGCTCCTGTCTGTTAGTCTATCTCCTGCAGCTTGGAGAGCACTCTCCACAGAGAGATCCGCTGCCTTCAGGTCACGAGTCGTGCCGAATCGTATCTATCCACCGCAATGGTGGACGGCCACGGGTATTTTTCATGTCGTTTGTGTTGATGAATAGCGCCAGTGCTTGGAACGAGGCGGATTCTGGACCCTCTCGCACCACATGGCCAAACCACAGCAGCCTGCGTCGCCGACATGTGCACTAACTGGAGATTGTTTTGTTTCTGTGTATAAGTTGTTATTGGTGATGCGTTGCAGCAGTACGCGTAGCTTCCTCCGTTCCCCTTTGTCAAGTTTGTCGTTCAGCAATTTGGACAGAGTCCACAATCCGCGATTGTATAGAAGGATCGGCATTATGACTGAATTTACGAGGCAGTTAAACATACACAGTCTGGATTGAAAGTAATGCCGTCGAACCAAATGCATCTTCACGTACAGTTCAAGCAAGCACGCTCAAGCGCCAGAAATGCCTATCACCGAAAGCGGAACGATTTCTTCCGAGCGCAATGTGCCGCGTCCAGTCAGAACCCGCGTAAGCTCTGGAACGTCATAAACTCCGTTACGAACAGGACGAGAGAAGTATTGTCTATTTTTCTTTTATTCCACGATGGCGTGACGCCAATAAGGATGATTGATAAGTGCGATAGAACTGGTTTTAGCCAGAAACAGCTAGATGGAAATTAACCGGTGAGGCAAGAAGCAATGGATCATGAAAAACAAGCGGGGGCAATAACGTTAGCAGGGGTGATCGAGATAGTTTAAAAGTACACGTTCGAGATATCAGAAACCAGGGGGATGCGCGGAGCAGGAACAGGTACTGCTCAAAAGGAGACTGGATGCATTGTTTCGGAAAGAATTTCTACGAGGATGTCGATAGGGAGTGAGTTGTAGAGGTTGAGGGCACTGTTGATGGGGGAATCTCGGTGCCTGTTTGTGTGTGCGTGTCCGATGGAGTAGGTCCTTGTCTGTCGAAGGGTGTATGGTTGGTGTTGACGTTGTGGTGCAAGATGTGGTTGTTGTAGGTGTGGTGGGGAGGTTGGGTGGTGGATGTCCCATGCTAGTAGGACTTGTTTAACAAGGAGTCGTGAGCTAAGGGTGGGGAGCTTTGCATGATGGAGGAGGGAACTGTGGTGAACTGGTGCAAAGAGGGGAATCCGAAGGTAGATGCGTATAGCACGGTGTTGAATTCTCTCCAGTGTGTCCCGCTGTTGCTGTGTGGTGTTGGAGAGGGCAAGGCTGCCATATTCGAGAACGGGTCGGATGTAGGTCGTGTATATTAACAATAGGCTGGAAGCGTTCATTGTGTGCCACGTGTCTTGTGGAGTTGGTGTAGTAGTTTTTGGCTTTGTTGGTGGTTTCTATGATGTGTTGGGTCCATCGCATATCGTCTTGGAGTGTAACACCAAGGTGCCTATGTTGGTGGACCTGCTACAGCTGAGTCGAGTGGAGCGTGATGTGGATGGTGTGTTGGGGTTGGAAGGAAAGGACGACGGTTTTTGTGGTGTTAACGAGGAGATGCCAATCCTTCAACCATCGTCCTGCTGCGTCCACGGCACGTTGGAGAAATGCAGCTGACAAATCCCTCGTGTAATGCGTCGCGATGAGTGCCGTGTCATCGTCGAACTGGCTGCATCTGGTGTGGGAGTTTGTACATGCTGGGGGAGGTCGATCGTGTACACCAGGAAAAGAAGAGGCCCCAGGACAGAGCCCTGGGGTACTCCAGCTGGAATGGATTTCCATGATGACAAGGCGGAGCCAACCTTGACGCGTTGTCGGCGGCGAGTCAGGTAGCTTGTGAGCCAGGTAAGGGCAATGCCACGGACACCAAGGTACGTGTGGCAGAGCTGCATATGGAGCCTACTTGCCCCATAGAAGAAGTTTCGTCAGTCTTCCAGGCAGTAGTAAGAGACAAAGCCCGTCCTCACAGCATCCCGCTACCGCAAGGTCCACACTCCACAGCCTCAGACTGCAATGTCAGAATTGCAGCAAGTGTCTTTTGGCGAAGTAGAACGGCTTCTCCGACGAATCAATCCTGCCAAAGCTACAGGAAGCGATGGGATACCTGGCCACCTTCTAAAGTGCTGTGCCGATATCCTAGCTGCGTCCGTGGCCACGTTGTTTAATGCCTCGCTTGTCAATGGCACTGTGTCCACAGCCTTCAAACTCGCACACGTTATCCCGCTGTTCAAAGCTGGGGACCCGTCTATTCCCACTAACTTCCGTCCAGTGTCCCTACTTCCCATATTGTCAAAAGTCTTGGAGAAAGTCGTACAGAAGAAGCTAGCCCAGTTTCTGGACATATCTGGTACCCTCCCCACGACTCAGTTTGCATTCCGCGCAGGCCACTCAACGGAGGATGCCCTGGTACTTATGCTAAATCGTATTCTTATTGCACGGGACAAGCGTTTGTGTACAGGCATATGCCTTCTAGATAATTATGTCAAAGGCATTCGACAAGGTTCGTCATGAACGGCTACTCCAGGACCTATTCAATATCGGCATAACAGGGACAGCCCTAAAGTGGTTTTCCGCCTATCTGTGGGGCGGTACTCAGCGTATCTGTATTGGACGGGATCAGAGTGCCATTTATGAACCATCCTGTGACGTGCCACACGGTTCTGTTCTAGGACCGATCCTTTTCAGTATCTACACCCTCGAAGTCCCAACCATAGCTAACAAGTCTTCGTTGGTTTAATTTGCCGATGACATCGCGCTGATCAGCAGCAGCACATCCCTCGACACGGTATCTGCTACGCTATCGGCCTCTGTTTCTGCACTTGCTGACTGGTTGCAGACCCGTGGTCTCATTTTGAATGCAGCCAAGAGCCAAGTTATCCCTGTATACCCCAACAGGCAGCCTCAGCAGCCCCAGCACACGATCAATGTAAGCTGTCAAGAAACACCGATTTCTGTCGTTACTGCGGCCAGGTATCTTAGAGTGCTCCTCGACTCGGATCTGTCATGGACGCCCCATGTTGATCGCTGCACCGCTCGACTGGCTCAGAGGATCGGAGCACTATGGATGTTGCGTCGCTGCTTGACTCATCAGAGCCGAGTTCTCTACTTTAAAGCGATCATCATGTCTGACCTGATGTACGAATCCAATGCGTTTTTCCCACTTCTTACTGCCAACCAATTGGATCGGCTACAAGTCATGCAGAATCGTGCGGCAAGGGCGGTTTTCGGACTCTCGCATCACACCTCCGCGCGCACCCTCCTGCTGAAATTGGACACATACAGAGTATCCGAGATATTCAGGCAGAAGTTCATCGTTCTTGTCTGGAGGTCTCGGAATGGGCACGCAAGTTCTGATCTGCAAGCCCTCCTAGTTCCTACGTCAGCTGGCCCAACTAGGTTGCACTCCACCATGGGTCTGCGCCAACCGCCAGTTTGCACCAGGTTCGGCAAGGGTTGCCTCCCGTTCACGGGCGCCCAGCTCTGGAACACCTTACCCAGCAATATACGTGCCATCTCCACGCTCCGCCAGTTCCGCGCCAGCATAATCCCTCACACCCTTAGTACCTAGAGTACCAAACGTCCTGTTTGATGATCAGCTGGCTTAGTTTCTCTCCACCTTTATCCTTATTACATCCCTCCCCAATTTCATTAATTACTACTTTCTATCTGCATTCGCCACCTATTCATTGGGCAGATCTGCCCGTTTTGTTTGCAAATTAAAATAAACACAACAACAACAACAACAACAACAACAACAACAACAACAACAAATGAACTGTTTGCTTTTGAAATTCTCATGTCCACGTCTTCTGCAGAGCCCAATAGGGAACCGAGGAGTTTGATTGATCTCCATTCATTGCTGTTTCTCGTAACATCAACATATTCAGTTTTCTGTGTTTTAATATAGGTTCACAATCAGCAACAAGAGCCTTCGACTCATCGACCCATCGTCATTTCGGTTATGCAGAGTAGAATCGTCAGCTTACTGCGTTGTCGGAGCAGGCATTGCAGAGCGAATTGTGCATCTTTCCCTGATCTTGCGCATTGTGCAAGATTTATTCGACTCTGGGCTTAGGCCAGTTAGGGAGAGCCCGCCTTGAGCTGTCCTTCAGTAATTCTAGAGCGTGTTTACATGATCAGATGTGTCAGGCTTATTATGATGATCCAGCAGCCCGCCCAGCTGGGGCTGTGTTATCGACATTGGACTTGCGTAGATGTTGCAGAAGGCGTGGCAGCTCCCTCATCCCGGACTGGCCTGGGCCAAGGCCCTGAGAGTCTGACACTTGCCCAGCTACAACTAGCTAGCTAGTTGGTACAGTGCTGCACGTGCATGCACGCGTGCTCGCGCTGGCTTGACCGCAGCACCCTGGTCTTCATGGCCATATATGGAATGAAGGCCACGTTTTGACGTAGACTCCTGGCCATGAATTTTAGCACATACACAGAACAAACACTACAGGACTTGCACCGACTGTCTTTGTAGCCTGCCTAAGCCGAACATCAGGATTTTGGGCATGGTAGATCTACGTGGATCTGCGGTATCGCAAGACGCCAGTCATCCCAAGATAACTGGCGTCTTGCCTGGGCCTGCGCATCGCCCGCGCATCGCCCGCGCATCGTCTGCGAAGCTACGATCCCATAGAGAAGCAACGAAAGGCTGTTGAGCATTATTACATGATTATGTAGCGCTGAGTTAGTGAGGGGAGGAGGCTTTCCGTTTGAATTTTTTTCTTATCACACAACACGGACTGACTAAAGACTTGTGACCGTCGTCCACAAAGTCGTAGTGATGAATCGCGACGGTCAGGCGTTGCTTGATGACCTAGGGCTGACAAACCAGCACATCACGTTCCTAGGTGACGTTCAGGTGAGAGACGAAGACGAAATCGGCCGGGGATCGGATGCAGTGGTGTACAAGGTCAACTGGCAAGGTATCGATATCGCTCTCAAAGTGTTACATCCTGTGTTGGTTGAGCCAGGTGTTCAAGACAGAGAGCGTAAACTCAGAGCATTTGGTCAAGAGGTGTTTCGTCTTAGTAGGACGCACCACCCGAATTTATGCCAACTGATAGGACTAGCTCGGGTAAGAGGGAATGCTGCGTTGGCCCTGGAGTTGTTGTCGGCGTCCCTAGAAGACGTTAGCATCGGAGATGGCAGAGAAGATACTCCTAAGCTCGTGTCGTACCTCTGCGACGCAAGCGCAGGACTTCGCTACCTGCATTCTTTCGGAATCATTCATCGCGATCTAGCGCCCAAGAATGTGCTCGTGAAAAATGGCACGGCCAAAGTCAGTGACTTTGGTGTTGCTAAATTTGTGTGCTTGACTTCACCTCGACAACAACCGCACCAAGTCCGATCGGCCATGGAGATGACTCGCTGCCCAGGTACACTGCCATTTATGGCACCTGAGGCTTTGAGCGAGGCTCCGGATTACGATCGTCCCTTAGACATGTTTTCGCTTGGTGTAATGATGCTGAGCGTTCTAACAGGAGTTATGCCTGGCATGGACGTGGTTGCAGCGCCACAGTTCGTCGTCGTGCGAGAGCGGGGCCAAGAAGTTCAAGAAGTGATTCCGGAGACGACACGCAGAGCACGCTACCTAGCACGTTTGCCGGATGAACATCCATTGAAGCCATTGATACGCCGCTGCCTCTCTAACTGTCCCGGGGACCGACCGTCAGCCGAGCAAGCGCACGAAGAGATCAAAGGTTTCCTGACAATGTTCAACAGTATTTTGCCGGTGAGTAATTTGTCGTTTTGCTTTCAAATCATGGAACCTTCATGATATGAGTATCTGACATATGACTACAAAGAAACAGTCACACACACCCATGAATGTATTGTTTCCATAGCCATCCAGTGATCCACAGGCACAGTTCACACATGTAGACCAGGGAGTCCTGATATGACCACCTATACTACTGTAGAAATACAAACTTTCGTTTGAAATTCATTTTCCCTACATTCGTAAGGGGGCACGAAATAACTAAAGTTTGTACCAAACTAGTGTTTTTTCTGAACGTTCGGGGTGACAGACCTCGACCCAAAACGAAATTTAGCACGTAACGAACCTGCTGGTGGAGTGATCTAACGAAAGATTTCATGAACGAAAATTTGTACTTATACAGTATCAGAGTTCTAGCTAAAGGGGGGGGGGGGGAGGGGGCGCAGCGGCCCCCTACTCTGAACAAGTCATTTCCGATTTTCATTTCCGATTTTCATGTTTTCATGCAATTCAACGAAAATGCAGTCGAAAGTCACTTTTACTACAGTCGTCACCAAAAAATTCCGGCCAAAAGCAATGCTAGCTGCCGGTAATTGTACACTGCTTTGTAGAGAGGTCTAGCCTAGCACTAAACCCAGACTATACAGGAAAGTGGAAAAATGGGATCCAGGGTAACTGTTTGCCATGTCCCTCCCCCCCCCCCCTACTTAGGCTTTCCCCGAATCGGCGCCCGTTTTATTCTTCTTTTTTTTTCGCATTTGCGGCTTTCGCTAAGCTCAAACCACAAGCTCAAAATACATCAGATTCGGCTGCAAAATCAGCTGATTCCTCGAAAATCGGCTGCAAAATTGTAATAATTATAATTATTGGAAAATCGGCTAAGAGAATTGTTGGCGTATTGGCTTCAAAGTTGGTGAGATAGTGGAAGATTTGGTAGATTTTCGGTGCAAAGAAACCCTCCAAAATTGGCGAAAAGCTTAGCGATTTTTCGATAAGTCTCGTTTTCGGTGAATTTTTCAGCCGGCCGATCTGGGGAAACCCTACCCCTACTATTTTGACCTGGCTAGAACCCTGGTGTATGATATGTACATGTGTATGTACGTGTAGGGTACACGCATGAACCCCTAAGCAGTAAATACACGTTGCCGGGCAAAAAGTTGGTCCAGCTATGGCCTTACCAACCGGGCCGGTTCTGCCGGGACTGGAAGAGCACTACAACTTCCCCTGTTGGCCGAAACATCCGAATCACCTCGGGGTTGGGAGGGGGGGGGGGGAGACAACCCTCCCTCTCCCCCCCCCCCCCCTCTCCCCACCCAGTCATGCCTCCCTCCACTGCCCAGTGATATCCCTGTGATGTACTTGTATTGTGCTTGAAATGTAACTTTCAAATGTATCCAAAATCCAAACAAACATTGACGTACAGTGACTTTCTCGGTGTAGGTCTACTGCCTGTGCAAGTCTACAAATTTTCGGTACCTTTAATTTCAGACCCCCCCCCCAGGGCTAAAACACACATTTCGGCCGCATTTATTAATATTCGGCATGTACTGCTGTTACCTGTATACACTGTCACCTCAAACCTGGCAAAGCAACATTTCAGTTGCAACAAGTTTTAGGCCAGAAATAGCCAAAAATAAATATGCGCCGACTATTTGTTGACTCACCGTATCTGTCTGTCTGCTCACCTAATTGTTCATCTGCCTTTCTCTTTTTCCGGCTGTTTTCTGCCGTCTGTTTGTGTCTTTTTGATGGTCATGCACAGAGTCAGCCAAGCGCTGCTGCTACAGGACTTACCAGGCAGCTAGAGTCGATTTCACAGCAGCTAAGCCAGCAGGCTACATGCATTGCTGACATCACCACACGCAGCTCTGCAGTAGAGGACCAGCTCAGCACCATTGTACAGCGTCTGGGTGATACCCAGCTTGAAACCACCAGTATCCGCGGTCAACTGCGGACTACGAGCCAGCAAGTGACTGGGGTGTCCAACCGCCTGGAGACAACGAGCCAGCAAGTGACTGGGATGCGTGACTGCCTGCAGACTACGAACCAACAAGTGACTGAGATGCGTGGCTGCCTGCAGACTACGAACCAACAAGTGACTGAGATGCATGACTGCCTGCAGACTACGAACCAACAAATGACTGAGACGCGCGCACAAGTCACTAGCCAAGAAGGACATGCAGCAGTAGTTGCCACCCAGTTGACAGACCTACGTGCAGCCATCAGTGAGCAGTTCAATGCGACCAACCGAAGCGTGAATGACCAACTTTCACAACTTCGCTCAACACTGCAGGTAAGAATGTGGATACGCGCAATGTCGCGTATTAAAGTAGGTGCTTACGGCCGTATAAGCCGGGGATCAAGGCATGCTTCTATTCAAGTTATGATTCTATTCAAAACATTCTTCTACGTCAACATCATCAGTCTACACTGTGCAATGCATACTGCCACACAATCATGTACTGTGCAAGTAACATGCTTCTGTGTCATGGCGCGCTTCGAAAAACCGTCTTCTATTCGAGTCATACTTTTATACGCGACACTACGGAATGCAGTTGATCATCATCTCCTTTTTAACCCCTTTCAAGGGGCTAAAAGTTAAAAGTTTTTGACTCAAATGTGCATGTATGTAGAAGAAAGAGAAGCATGAGCATCCATTGATCTGAGCAATTTTGGTTCACTATTATCAGTGCATGGAACACCAATGGTGTTTTCCGAAAGCTCACATACTGTAAAAGCAGACATTTTCGGTGGTGTTTTATTTTCGGAAACTTCGGTGCCGACAATTTTTACCGAAAATGAAACGCACCGAAAATTTCGGTACTACCGGTACTGTATACACAGAAAACGGGTTTTACCGAAGATTTCCCTCCACCGAAACCGGCGATTTTAGACAATACCGAAAATATTACACCAACGAAAATTTCTGCTTTTACAGTATCCGAATTTGTAACCAAATGCAGATGATGACCATTTTTGGACATACAATTCCACTGGGTGCCGTGTAGACACACGTGTGTAGCAGTGTAATGAGCATTTCTATAAGATATGGTTCTCTAGCCCGCGAGCAACTCAAAATAACCACAAACACCATCTCCATTGCACTGTGGAACGTGAGTAGAGTATGCTATTTAATCTTAAAACCAGAACAAGGATGTTTCTACGCTGCCGGAGCCTGCACACTTGTGCACACCCAGTGATGGTGATATCGAGAATGCCGACACCCCACAGCTCTTACTCTGTGTGTGTTTCTGGGCATGCGCTTGCTCTTGGGTATGTAACCTATGTGTGTTTGGGTGCACGTGCATGTCTTTGCGACCATACGCTGGTATACATGTGTGTGTGTGTGTTTGTGTGTGTGTTTGTGTGTGTGTGTTTGTGTGTACACGTGTGTGTGTTATATTGCCCTGTACATTTCTAATTCGGATGAGGAACTGACAGACCTCTGACTCCTCTGGAGTCCTCTGACTCCTTTGGAACACGCTATGTCTCAATTGCTCCAACCAGTACCGTCTGTTTTTAGTGTAAGTTCGTTCAACGTTCGTGGTCTATCGTCCAACACGAAAAAGCAACTGCTGGCCGAGGACCTGCGTTGCTATAAAATTCAAATTTGTTCTCTGCAAGAAACGAAAATTCAAGACGGCTACGATGGAGTTCACGGCGACTACAGGATTGTGTGCCTCTCCTCGACTTGCCGACATTATGGAAACGGCTTTGCTATACACCACTCGCTCCTCGACAGAGTGTATCGAATCTGGAGCGAGTCGGATAGAGTTGCCGTTCTGCAAATTCGACTGTCAAAAAAGAAACTATTGTCGCTCGTCAACGTGTACGCGCCGACGTCGACTAGAGTTGCGCAGGACCAAGACTGCCTGGACGACTTCTACTCCTCACTCAATGCTGCAGTTGCCAAGGTAAACTCTTCATCTATCTTCCTCGTACTCGGTGACTTCAACGCCAAGCTCGGAACACAAAATAAATCACTCCAACAATGCATTGGGCGATACGGAAGAGAACGACAGAATTACTCTGGCAAGGTTCTCGCTGACTATTGTGACTCAGCTTCCCTATTTGGCTGCAGCACAGCTTTCCAGCACCCAGCACGGCACTGCACAACATGGACAGGATGGAGAAAGAATAATTCAAGTGGCGGAGCCCCCATTCCCATCTATAATCAAATAGACTATATCTTGTGTTCCACTCGTCAGCGCCAGCTCTTCACAGATGCCAGATCTTACGCTGGAACCCTGCTGGACTCGGACCACCGATTACTTGTGGCACGAATGAAGCTGGGCCGGTTGCATGGTGTGTGGGGCCCAATAGAGCACGCTAAGAAACAGCGAGTTGGCATGAAAAATTGAAAATTGCAGTGGATAGGCTGTCCGATCCACGCATACGGAAGGAATACCAGTCCGCTCTGGGAAATGCTATTACCCAACACTGCAGCTGCCAGCCAGACACAAAACTAGCCCCTCAGGAGCTATGGGATCAGGTACATACGACTGTGATGGAAGTGGCCAGCGCTACCCTGGGAGCATCAACAAGACCGCCAAAAGGAAAATGGATACCTGACCCACAACTGACGGCTATGGTTGAAGAAATGCGGAAAATCCGGCTTAAACTGATGAATACCCCCGATGCAGCAGTAGCAGCACGTCTAAAACTCCACAAAAACCAGTTATCTCATCAAGTTCGCAGGCAAGCGAGAGACAATGCAAGCAGATTATTGGACGGTAAGGTGGCGGAAATTGAGAACCAGAAAGATGACGCGCGCATGTTCAAAGCTGTGCACCTGCTCCAACGAAAGAAACAACAACCCATCACCATAGATGATGCCGAGGGACGACGGCTTTTGAACCCTCAAGACGTCGTTGGCGGAATCACGAGTCATTTCCAAGAGATATTCACTCAGCCTAACACTACCATCCAAACAAAAAGTACAGAAAAAATTGCCAAAAAAATTACACAGCAGGAAATCACATCTGCAGCAAGGCGCCTTAACAACGGCCGTGCGA